GTAACGGTGCCTGGCTCGTATACAGGCTCTCCTGGTCCCGTTCTTGGCTATAATTTGCGTCAGGAGTCGAGGAGCATGCCCCTCAGAAGGACTGGGGATCCGTCACGAACAGCTCCGCTACCCGAAAAGTTGGGTCCAGCCGTCCTTGTAGTCGGGCGAAATGGGGGCGAGTCCTCCGCAGCCTCAGCACGGCCTCCTCACGGCATGCGTCGAAGGGAGCCGGGCCTCAAGAGCTTCTCAGACCTCTCATCTCAGTGGGCCTTCACAGAGTGCACCTCAATGCTTTCGCACAAGACCTGGCTCCCTCTGTGAAAAGGCGTGCGTCTGCCTTTGAACTGTCTCACCCTTTCAGCCTCAGGCCAACATGAAAACATCGACATCGGCCTGGCAGCAAAGACCAGCACGAGAATGCATTATATGGCCAGTCCTCTGCCACGGGTCCCTACTTTCAAGATCTTGCGAGCCGACAGCAAGGGGAGCTGTTTCGAAGAAACCTGCGGAGAAGAGGAGCTGGCAGGGGTGAGCCGCGGTCCAGCGCACGGACAGCATCGCGCGCTGGCACGTCGCCACCTTCGGCGCGACACGAGAGCTCTCAGCTCGTCCGCCCGTGGCTGCATATCCGGCTTTCTGCCTGAGGAGGTGTCCTGGCTAGATCAAAACGAATTCGCAAAGGAAAATAGACAATGGACAGAAACAGCAGGACTCAGATGAACTGTGGGGGACTGTAGGAAGTAACAAGCCTTTCTGACGTTCTCTTTCGACGGCTGTTTAAAGTTGAGCATTGAGCGACCTCGCGCTCACCTTGGGCTCACTGCTCTTGTTCCGTGGTTTCGTGAGTCGAGCCGGTCGAGCCGGTCGAGCTCTCAGCGAGCGATCACTTCTCAGACTCAGGCCGGAGTTTTTTTGGGAGCCCGGGGGCCCGGCCCCAAAAAGAGGACGCTGTAGCACGGGGGCGCGGCCTTTGCCAGCCTCAGACTCGCCTCCGCGAAGACCTGGTAGCTCAGGAGCGACTTCCTTGGAGGTGCCACATTGTCACATGTTACGCAATCCGAGTCTAGCTGCTAGTGCTCGACACATGCAGATGTCCAGGCGATGCGGCGATGCACTGCAGGACGTGCTGCAAGTGCTGCACGCATGCCACGTGCTTGCCTGCAGTTTGGGAGCGGGGGGCGGAAGTCTTGCAGAGCTCGCAGAGAAGTGCGCCAGTGAGCCCTGCGGGCCGCGCAGCTCGGCGCTCAAGAGAGGCTGGTCCGGGTCCGACTGGGCCTGCTGCGCTAACAGCTTTTAGCTCTTGGAGCCTGGAGCTCCAGCTCACTTGCACTTGGCATCATCACACGTGAAGATGCCGTCTTATCTGGCTCTGGCGCGAGTGCCCGCCCGTCGAGCTTCGCTTTGGCAATGCTTCAGCTTTGCCTTAAGCTTGCTGAAGCGGGGCAAAGCCCTGCATGGCAGCACGCGGCTCACCGGCTCACAGCGGCTGCTGGCCGAGCGCAGAGGAGTTCGTAAAGAGAGCAAAGGAGAGTCCCGAGTTTGGATGCCGTAGGTTTAGAGCTGAGAACGAACTTCACTACCGAATAAACATGTATTTCTGATTCTCCACTTACGGCTGACGCTTGAGGGACCTCAAGCGGCTTTGGGGGTCAGAGACCGCTGTCCCAGCACAGGAAAATGAAAGAAGCATCCTTACACCAAGTAATTGGGGGCGGCGGTTGGTTTAGGGGCTTAGTGATCTCTCTGAGCAGGCCTATGCGTACAGTTATACACAGTTAGACCAAGTTACAACATTACTGAGACTTCTCAGGCTCGAGCTCTTCTTGAACTTCATCCTCAAATCAAGCGGCGGATTCGCGTTGAAGCCGAAGCTTCTTCGGCAGGTTAAGACTTGAGATGATGAGCTTCTTCACCGCGGCGGCCCCCTCTGTAGCCTTCTTGAGCTGAGAGTACCATTCAAGTCAGAGCGAAGCGGTGTAAGCGGGGGCCGGGTGTGCAGTGCTCCCATGCGAAACCTGAAAGAGAGAGAGAGAGAGAGAGAGAGAGAGAGAGAGAGCAGGCTGCCGCGATCGCCGCCTGAGAGTCAGGAGCTCAGCTGAGCCGCCGCGAGCCGCCGCGAGACGCCGCGCCCGCTTCGCTTTAGCGACGACCCGCGGGCAGTTTTCGCAGCCTCGGCCTCGCGTCAGCAAAGGCTGCGGCCGTGGCCTAAAGCTGCCTTTGCAGTGCCTCTTTGGGGAGCGCCGCCCCTCCGGACAGTCAGGCTCAGGTGCAGCCAGGTCTGCGGCTGCAGAAAGCGGGACAAAGGGAGAGGGAGAGAGGGGGGGAGGGAGAGGCGGCGGCTAGGCCGCGGAAGGCACCCACTCAGCATATCCGCCCACGTCGATGTTGCAAACTTCATTCTGCCATTCTGCTGCTTGGATCAGCTTTCGTCTCCGCTCAAGTCGTCATGACGATACACCAAAAGACTCAGGCCCAGCTGAGGGTTCGAAGCACACGCATGGCATGGCCCAATGGCCCACCGGGTCATCGCCTGCAGGGAGTCCGCTTCCGAAGCTTTGAGTCCGAGCAAAGAGTGCGCCCACCTCTTCGCAGAGAAACGCTGCGTGCAGCCGCAGTTCCGCGAGTTCCGCGAGTTGCGCCAGTTCGCCGCGGAGAAGAAGGAAGTGTCGGAGCTCAAGCCAAGGGCTTCGGCCCCGGCGGCCCCAAACCGCGGTTTAAAAGCGGCCGTGGCTGTTGGACAGCCTTCTTTCAAAGCCTTGGGAGTGCCTTCGCAAGCCATAAGCGCGGGCCCCTTGCAACGCGCCGCTCCTAAAAAAGCCTTGGGAGTGCGGCGGTCCCTGCGGTGTGCGGTCTCCGGGGCTGTGCGGTCTCAGCGAGGCTTCGCCTTCGCGAAGCGCCGCGGCGCCGGCGAAGCGCCCTCGCTCCGGCGGGCCGCCCAAGGGCCCTGCGTTTCACTGCGGCGGCGGCAGCGGCCACGCCACCTCCGTCACGAGCACGAGCTGCGCGTGCTGCGCGTGCTGCGCGAGCTGCGCGAGCTGCGCTGTCGCGACGCGGTCACCTGTCGCGGCTGCAGGGCCGGGGTTTGGTTTGGCAGTTTGCGGGACCCCAGAAGTTCAGAGGGGCAGAAAGACGGAGAAGCCATTGAAGAGAACAGCACCCGCTTCGCCGAAGGAACGAGGAGTCTCCGATGTCAGCAGGAGAGCGTCAACTTGAACCCCAGAGCTCTAGCGCCTGAAGAGAGCCCTTGCGCTGAAGCCTTGAAAAAGAAGCCCCACCCCCATGTTGTTAGCTGAGAAGCGCTGACAGCCGCTTCCCGCTGCAACCAACGTGAAAACTATCACTCGGTGTCGTTCCAACTCAAGGAGAAGCCGCCGACGTCACCTCCGCAAGCGCTTTGCAGCCTTGGCATTACAAGCTTTTGCTGTCACAGCTGCATAAATGACATCGGGAGCGTGAGGCTAAACCAGGGCTTAGGGACTATCTCAAGGCCTGTTTACGATGCCATGAGCGGCAGGGCTACGGCGCGGTGGCTATGGCAACGGCCCACCTGAAACCAAGCTCATATGCATGCTGCGCACGCTGCAGAGCTCAGGTCGCAGCCGCACACTTGTGCTCATTGTCTGCATGCTGGCAGTGGTCCGATCGGAAGCCCGCAATGCAACTGTGCGCCAATCGGGCTGTTGGCGCCAAGGTCACCTTTCCCTTTCCACACTGCCCTGCCTCTGCCTGGCCACAGACACGTGTCCTCCTGGACCGGGCCCAAAAGCCCAACAGCCCGAGCCGTGGCTTTCAGACACATGAAACAGTCGCGGCCTTGATTGAGGAAGTCACGGTGCCCGCAACTTGCCTAGACAAATCACTCCGTGTGTGAGAGAGTGAGCGGCAGGCAGAGGCAGGGCAGGCAGGCCACATGTTGCCATCCTACACTTGGAAAGTCTGCGCGGCTCTCAAATGTCAAGAGATGTGCTGCGCTGCTGCACCTTCCTCGGAATTCCACTTGATGGCAGCCTGTGCCAAGGCCCATGAGCCATGAGCCATCGTCACCGTGACCACCGTGACCGCTGTGACTGCAGGAACGCCATGGACCAGCGCAGGAACGAACCGGCAAGGCGGCGGCACGGCGGCAACCAGGCAGTCCGAAAGAGAGCGGAGACTCCCGCGGACTGCAGGACTGAGACTCGACCGAGGCCGATGTGACTGAGGCCTTGGTCCGTCGCCAAAAAGTGACAAAGGCTTGGCATACTTATGCCAAGCAAGGCGTCCACGGGACGCAGGCCACGACATTTCCTCTCAAGTGGCTTAAGCCGAGCAGACTCCTTAAGGGAGCGGTCAGCCAGTCATATTGGGAATCGCTCTAAGAGGCAGAAGCCTTCCGACTGATGCGCAGTTAAGGGCTTAGAAGGGCTCTGACCGTGGCTTTAAGCGACCAAAGGCGCCTTCGGAAGAAAACTGCCGAGGCTCCTTCGAAGCTCTTCGAAGAACAAAGCAGCGCTTTTGGACAGGGCGCCCCCGAGCCCGGGCCCTAAGCCGCTTACGGCCGTAAGCTTTAGGGCTAAAAGCATCCGGGACCGAGGCCCAGGCGCTTCTGCAAATGCGCCCGGACCAAAGACAGAGCCGTCGAAGACGTCGCTCCCCGGGAGCCGCCGCCGCCGCCCGCTTTCAAGAAACCTGCAGTCACAAGAAAAGACAAAAAGCGCTGCAAAAGAGAGCTTCTTCCCCCCATCCCCCTGCCGCGCCTGTCTCAGCTGAGTCGGCCATCGCTATGGCGAAGAAAGACAACATCACGACTCTCACGACTCTCTCGCGACTCTCGCTCCCGACGTCGCATGAATACTCAGCTGCCACCGCCTTCAACTGGAATGCTTCATAAACGGCCATGCCAAAACACGCAGAGAGATCATGTCCTAAAATGCGCTCCAGCAGACGAACTGCAGCCGACACAGCTTCAGATCACAAAGAGTCTCTACTCTTGAGGAAGGCTTCCTCCGACCTCCGCCCTCTCTGAAAGTTCAAGCGACGCAGATCACAGCAGAGGAGCGGAGCACAGCTGTGCTGTGCGTCGGCGTCTCTTTTCCTCTCGGCCCTCGGCTCGGAGTGAAAATCTGAGGCTCTCTCTGTGAAAACTTCGCGCTCCCGCCCCGCCGCTCCGCTGGGTGGGGGCGGGTGCGGCTGTGGTGGCTGTGGCGACGAGAGCGAAAGCTCCGCGGAAGCGGTTCTGCGGGTCGCTGTGGTGCTTTCAGGGGGCTCTGGAGCAGCGTGCACTCTTTGAACATCTTCGGGCTTTGGAGGGGCTGCGGGTGATTGGGGGGGGTTGGGGTGCGGCAGCTCACTTCCATTCGGCGAAGTCCTGAGGGTGTGGCAGAGCGCTTGGACTGAGGCACAGCTGAGGCGAGCCGAGCGGCCGAATCGCCGCTGTAGACGTAGCCCCATTTGCGGTCCTTTCAGAACGGATCGTATGCCCAGGCCAAGCGCCCCAGGCCCCCAGCGCTCCTTCTGGAAGCGGCTGCGCTCGTGCAGCGTCTTCCCATTGCGACACCGGATCTTGAACTCCACGGTCTCCTCGCGGCCGCTCCGTCTGCTCCAGACTTGGAAGAGAGAGGGAGAGAGAGCGAGGGACGAGGAGCGCTGCCACTAACACACCCGGTCCGCGTCTGCCGAGACCACCTCGAAGGGACCAAAACCAAGACGCAAAGTTCAAGAGCGCGGCAACGTGAAGCGAAGCGAAACGAAAAGTCGGACGGAAAGTCTTTTCAAAAGGTGCAAGTGCGCGTTGCACCCAGTGCAGAAAAATCAAAGAAGGGCAGTAGTGGATCGGATGCTATCTGGAAAGGGGCAAAAGCACGGAAACAGAAGAGCGCGGCGCGCGGCCTCGAAGTTCACCGGCTCCCTCAGACCCTCCGCCTGCAGAAGAGGCGCACGGCGCGGCTGGACTTCCCTCCCGAAGTGTACATGCTACGTGCTGCTATGCTATGCTAGGCTGAGCTATGTTATGCTAAGCTCTGCGCTTTATAGTACACGATTCTGAAGCCCAAGAGCCCCCCGAGCCCTTAACCCAAGAACCCTAAACCCGAAACGCAAGAACTTTATCTGGCGATGCGATGTTACACTTTGTCGCATTATACTACAAAAGGCAACATGAAATTATACATCGATACTGTGCAAGGCTGATCTTGGTTGTGCAGTCTTACATCATGTTCGGTCATATGAGATCATGCCATAAGAACCTTTAACTACGTGTTTATGCGAGCCAATATGTCAAATTATGTGAAATTGTGTGAGATGGCTTGAAGAGAGGCTGAGACATGAACTTCTGCCATACGGTATGATATGACGTCTATTGATATGATGTGGCCTTGGAATGATGCGATGGGTGATATGGTATGATTTCAGTTTACATGACATTGCGCGTTGTATCACGGTACAATATAATGTTACAGTAAATTGTTACTCCAGAATACCAAGCTGTACACTGCCATGCTATATGGTTATAGCATGTAGTTAATTGCGCGATGCTCGTAAGGCCAAGCACGGAACTGCACTATAACATATTTGTAAGCAACAGAAGACAGTACGATGCAATATAGTGACTGAAACAATCATGTGATACAGGTACCATCTGTTCAGTCTAACCTGATATCGCAGATTCGCAGATTCCGGAAGCGGGAGCAGCTTCGCAGCTCTACCCCCCACATACCCGCGTTTGAAGCTGTGCAGCATTGACATAGAAAGGTCTGGAACGAAACACATGGAAGAGCGCTTGAAATCCAGCTACGTGTTGCGTGAATACCACTTGGCTAGCAGTCAAAACGGTCGAACAGCTGTTGTATTGTGGCTGAACACTAGCTAGATATATATATATATATATATATTCTTATATAAAATTCTAAATGCTGTGAGAAATACTGAAGAACATTTCTGCAAGCTGATTTCTGAAGCCGCTCCCTGAACCTGGACACTGACAGATCTTGGTGCCGACATCATATCTGTCAAGCATTGGCTTTGAAACTCTGAAGTGTGGTGGTACTAAACAAGTAAGTGTATGTATGATTGGGCCTCGTATTTGGTCAAAGCACTGGAGCGAAATGGCATGAGAATTGGAGAATCCGCTCAGTGAAGGACGCAGAGACTGGGAGAGCCGGGGGCCCCTCGAGCACGCCTCGGAGGCGAAGAGCGTCGTCAGGGAGTCCACCCAACTCCTTGGTAGAGGAGAAGGGCAGAGCATGGCAGAGCGCAGCGAGCGGAGCGAGCGGAGCGAGCGGAGCGAGAGAGAGGATCTCCGATTTCTCAGTCTTTGCGTTTTTGTGTTGCGTCGTCCTCTTCCGATCGCTCCTTTCTTTGGGGCCCCGGGCTTCTCCTCCATCCCAAGGGTCTTCGCCCAGCCTCCCCGCAGCCAAAGCCACGCTGCGACGCTGTGCAAGCTCTGCTTAGTTCTGCTTGGCTCTGCTTCGCTGCGTTTCTGTGACTTCGCTGCTGTGCTGTTTGCGTAGTTTGCTTGCCCTTGTGTGGGGGAACAACCCGCGAGGGCCTGCGGCGCGCTTCTTGATGGAGGTGCCCTCCTCCTACGAAGCGATAGCAAAGAGCAGGGCAGAGCCGCAGGCCGTCTCCCCCTCTCCGTTCCCACCTTCTCCGTCGCCGCCAGGAATTGAGGGTCCTTTCAACTTCAGATTTCTTGAGACGAAGCGCAGCGGCGGGGCACTTCACTTCCTTGAAGCGGAGGGCGGTGAACCGGGCCCGCATGATGGCCTGGCCAAGCAGGAAAAACCAAACGCCGCCAGGCTCGCTGCGCTTCATTTCGCACTCACTTCACATGTTTCTTCCTTTCGACCCCCGCAGGCTTCGGCCACAGACGCTTCACCAAAGGGAGGACCTCCGGGGTGTCTGCGCGCTCACCCTTCAAGATCTTGTCCACCAACTGATCGGGAGCAAATTGCAACGGCCACTGCAAGGATGAATAAATGGACATCTCGTGACAGACGTATTTGCTACTCGTTGACACTTGTAGCGCGCACACACACACACACACACACATGCCACTCGAAGCACCCGCAGGAGCATGAATGACACGGTTTTAATTCTGTTGCATCTTCCCCAATCCTTTTGACACGACACCAGCTGAGCCTGCTTGGCCCGACACTCCCAGCCGAAATGCCCCGATGGGCGGAAGCCGATTCTGAGAAACAGGTGAAATGGGAAATTGCGGTCCCCTGCCTGCCAACTGTCGCCGTGGTCCTGGCAAACCATGAAAGAAACAGGAGGAAGAGAAGAACAACAAGTTAATGCAATTTTACCAATTGAATCAATTGAAAAAATCGACGACAAAAGGAGGCTTTTGTTGGTTGATTGCTGATGGTGCTAAATGATGCCGGCGGGAGGGGTTGTTGTTCGGTTGTTGCGCAAAGCGGCAACCCCGTAACCTGGACGTGTATCCCCCCGGTTAGGCGTACAGAAACACAGGCGCGCAGAGTGTGTCTACTGCCGGGTCACACTTGTAGATCGCACTCTGCTAAAACCTCGGGCAACAGGCACGGATACATGCAAGTGATATGTCAAACAAACAGGCAAGTGGATCAGTTTTCACCTGCGAGTTGCGGCTATGAGGGATTCAAACTTTCAAGTTGCGGCGCGCCCATGCCTTGCTCTGAGCCGACGTGGTTGCCGCTGGCTGTTCTATTTTGCGTCTTTCCTGCTGTGGCCACTTCTCCGTTTTCGCAAGAGAGGTCAACGAACTCAGTCAGCCAAGCCCAAAGATAACACGTCCAAGCCTAACCATATCATCCGTTGTCAAGCTCGCAGGATTGCTTGGTAAGGAGGCTTTTCCTGCACAGTTGGGGGGCGCGAGTATCCTTTTGACCGTAGGAGCATCACACGCGCACGCTGTTGGAGATAGGGATGCCGTCAAACTCTTGGCCATCCGCGCGGCGCCGCAACAGTTTGCAGAACATGCTATAAATTCGTGAAGATCATTTTGAAAGATCGAAAACATGATGCAATTTTTGTACGGATGTGTAAGGTTGGGCTGCGTGTCCGGAGTTTAGCGTATTTGTTGAAGGCTGTTCTGAAAACGTCTTGCAACCAAGCACAGCTGCGGATGTACACTTGAATCAGACATGACTGCGTGCAAAAGCAAGGACTGCATGAGCACTCAAAACAAATGTGGACAAGAACGTGAGGAAAACAAATAGTTCAACTCCATTTCCACACCACCAAAATCCATCCACCAGGGAACAGAAAACGTGATTACGTCGCCAAAGTATGGCGCGTGCACGAGTGTAACAGTCATGCTTTCACACGGATCCAAATTCGACTTTGGAGTGCTCGAATGCATACGGTCCACACCTAGTCTGACCCAGTACGTGCACACACAGCGAAGGTCCACAGCGTTTGTCGTGGGCGGACGAACCGCACTCCAGGACTCTCGAGATGCTCATTGGCATCCTTTGTACAAGCACGGAGTGCACCTTCCCACCTGACCTCCAAACCTTTGCACCTCCACAGGCCCAGCTTGGCCTTTCGCGCGCTAACTGTTTCAAGAAAGTTTTCAAGAAAACACTCGGGTCACAAAGGTTTGTGACTCCACTGCAAGGTCGCTCAAGAGATGCCCGTAGCACTCCTTCTCAGGTTTGTCAAGTAGGCCATTGCACAACTGCTACCGTGGAAACTCAGTTTCACATCTCTTCAAGATGAAGCACATATGCACTGTAAGTATTCTCTGTCTTGGCTGCCACTCAAGTCTGTGCGTGACCTGTATTAAAGTTGTAGCACTTGTCCAGGATCGCTGCCTTGGTCTCGTCGCTCTCGCCCGACTCTGGGCCGGCCCCTGGCGTAGCGATCCCACCTAACGTTCGTAGCAGGAGATCATCCTGCTCACCCGGACTGCTAGCCAAGGTCGCCGCAGGACTAGCGCCGACAACGGTCTGCGCAGTATCCTGTGACCTCTCCGAGCTCGGGGAAGCTATCGTAGTAGCCGGAGAGCGCGGAGGGGAAGCCATTTCACGTGGCTCCTAGCCACGTTCCCTTTCCCACTCCCCCTACTTCAAAACTACGCCCCCTTGCTTGGGGGACTTTATCCAGAATGGCCACGGAAATGTACAAGGGCTCCTCGCCATTCCAGGTCAAGCTATCTCTGCTCTTGCAAGCTGGAAGCAATAGCCGAGCAAGTAGATAGCAGTACAAACTTCTTTTCTAGCCGAACCACCTGCGATGGTTTCGATGGGAAGATTATCGGGCTAGCACACATAGTCGTAACTCGTCCCTCGTCACGAGGTACGTCACGGACATGAGGCAACATGCCCAGAAAGGCGGGAAATGATCTCAGGTCGGCCAATGCTACTTCAGTAAAATGCACTGCTATTGGCTTGCTTTAAGCAGTCTTTCCGGCTGTGGACCGTTGTTTACCCACCTGGTCTCGGTGCTCTCTCCCTTTTCACACTTGTGAAACGTCCGGCCTTTGCCCTCAGCTGTAGCTCAGCTCAAATTTTCTTCATCATCGTCCCTCTTCTCGGGACTTTCCAAGTTCTTCTTTTCCTCTGTCTTCTCCTTCTTCTTGTCTTTCTGCGTTTCATCTTTCTTCTCCTTCTTTCGATCATCTTTCTTCTTCTGCTCTTCCTTCTTCTTGGTGCCCTTTTGCTTTTCTTCTTTCTTCTTCTCATAATCCTTGCTCGATCCGGCACCTCCACTTTCATCTGCACCTTTCTTTTCATCTTCTTTCTTTCCAGCATCTTTCTTTTCAGCATCGTCATCAAGTTTGATAACTTCTCCTTCTGCAACTTTCTTCTTCTTTGCCATAGGCTCTTGGCTATGAAGTTCTCCTCTACAGCCGTAGGTGGGTTAGGGTTCGAGCTAAACCAGTAGGGGGTTTGGAGAAAACGAGACGATTTTCAAGTTTGTCATCAAAACGACTGGGGGGTTCGTTTTCGGAGCCATAAAAAATTCAAATTCGGAAAAAGTGGTCTGGCCACTTCCCATACCAAGTACTTGCACCGGGGAAACCCGTCAGCTCAGCTAGGTTGCTACGACCCCAGCAGACACGCAAGTGCAAAATCGTTGCCTGCCAAAACCCACGATATTGCTCCTGGGGTCTCGAGCAGACCTACTGGCCAGGCACACATGCTTTCACATGTCGTTTTAAGCATTCCCACTGAAATCCACACACACACACACACATCAGAGCACAACCCCAAAGCCCAAACCCCTAGACGCCGAAACAAAACACGACACACACACACACACACCCAAAGCCCGAACCCCTACACGCCTAAACGAAACACGACACACACACACACACAAACAGGTGATGCACCTTTTTCTCTCGCACCCCACGAGCTTTGTGCAGAAAACTTATGCCTTATGCATAATTGCTCCAGCGAGCCATCATCATGGAATCCAGAGTGTCAGTCGGCTGCGAATCTTCACCGCAATCGAACGCCGGAGGCGACACCGGAGGGGCCATCCCTAGGAAAGGGATGACCTGGGTCTCGGGGAACTCTTCTGGATCTGACGCAGGCACCTCTACAGCAGGCTCCGCTACATCCATGACACAACTTTCCTCGCACTCTGCGTTTTCCAAGACGCCGAGCAGTTCACACAAGTCTTCGTTCAGCCCTTGTTTCAGGGCCCTGATGTGCTCCTCTAGGGCCCTGATGTGCTCTTCTCGTGCCTTTCGCTCGTCGAGGAGCTGATCAAGATTTGCACGCAGTGCAGCGGTCAGATCTTTTTGCAGCTGCAGCCGATATTTCGTAATCTCCAGTTCCACCTTGAGCTGTTGCTCCAGTGTCTCAGGAGTCGAAAAGGTCGCAGCTTCACGGCTCTCGAAATCTCTGGTGACAGAGTCCCAAGTATCCTCATCAACTACGAAGCTTCTCTTCAGCTTAGGCAGAAGCTGTGAAAGAGGAGTTTGAGCCGAAACCTCGTGTGTCAAAAAGATAACACAAGCAAAAGCTTAGCATCTCCATGGAAACTAACTTTTCAGGCCATCGAGTTCATCTGATGTCACTGCCGAAGAACAGTTGCATATGCTAAGCCTACCATGTTGGCCGTCTGGGCATCCTCGCAATCGAACACATAAGGCAGCACGCAGTCTTGACAGCCGGCATGCGATCATGGCTGATCGAAGCTCGGGCTTCAGTCCATTTGCCAGACGAGCAATGCAGCGCCATGGCGGGTACTATGCGAAATCATTGACTTTGCAAACTACGCAGTCGTTTGTAACAAGGGTGCTCTCAGCATATCCTTGTGTGGCTGTGGCCTCAGACTCAGCAGACACTTATCATCCAGTCTTCAAATTAGAGAAAGCAGGACTTTGAGCCGAAACCTGGTGGGCCAAAACCTCATCGTGCTTGAATGAACAATCGCTTAGCTTTTCAATGGTCCCCCTATGGAACCGAACTTTTCCTTCTCATTCATCTGATGCCGCGGCAGTGGGTCCCCGACAGTTGAAGAAAAAAACAGCCGGCTTGAAAGGATCATGGCTCTCCGCAAGCCTGCTAGTGAAACCATGTTGCGCTGGCCTGCAACACAATCCAACAGATTGTGTACATGCCGAGCTTTTTCGTTCGTTGCCTCTGCAACGAACGCCCTGGGAGAAAACAATGGATCTCTTGTCCATTAGTCCAGCACGCTGAGGAAGTGGTTCAGAAGTTTACCTGTTCCCAGCTCGGGGGTTGCATCATTGATTGGTGGTAAGGTTTATGAAACAGAGCCTGGGGTTCCTTACTTGTATGTGCTATGTGCAAGTTCAA